TGACTACAGATGAGATTGAAGATATTGAGGTAAGTCACAAAAGCTTAAAAGTGAAATTAAGAAGCCTGGACAGTTTTCTCGGTGAAATGAGAAGGCTGAATCTTTTTAAATACAGCAGGGATATGATCCAATTGGCATGTTATGGAGGACACTCTGGTATCCAGGTAGAGATTGGGTTGGAGGAAGTCAAGAGTGAAAGCATGAGGACCAATAAAGAGATGATAAAGAGACTGCCACAATGATCCCGGTGTGAAGTCATGGCAGTGTGGTGTGCACTGGTGGCAGCAGTGTCCGAGAGAAATGGAAGGTCTTGTTAAATATATCACAGGTACTTGACAATGGATTGGAGGAAAGGATTGTGAATGAGAGGGAGGTGTGAGTAATTAGTCCTCAGACTCTGATTGGGTGGAGATTAAGGAGACTAGATAAGAAGAAACTTATTTGGGAAGGTAAAACCTAGAATTAAATTTTGAACAAATTAAGATGCCTATAAATCATGAAAATAGATATACTAGGAAAAGGGCTACATACATCCTCTAAGTCCAGGACTTAGAGGAGATTTGAGCTGGGAGATTAAAAATCTGAGAGTCACTGGAACAAAGATGGAAAGAAAGCAGGCCCTTTGTGATCTTCTGGGAAATGTTATACTAGAGGTGGGAGATAGGTAGATTTGTTCCAAATTGCAGTAAATTGAGAGGAAGTTGAGGCAATAGACAACAGACATAAACCATTTTTTCAAGTGGTTTGGAAAAAAAGAAAGGAGGGGCATTAAGGGAGGTTCAGGGATAGTGTTTTATGATGAGAAGTGTTGTCAGCTTGTTTATAGGCTATGAAAAAAGATAAGTAGAAAGGGCAAGATTGGGAATCTGAGATAATTAGGGGTGAGATAATTGGGTTCAGATTATCCCTTTTCAGAGGAAGAAGAAAGAAATGATATCCTGATCACTGAGGGCAGGAACAGTCTATGAAAAGAATTGAAATGCAAGGGTTAGTTAAATCAGCTTGGTGAACAAGGAGGTTTAGAAGAAGATGAATGAGAACACAGATTTCAATCTTGAACTGGCTTTGACATTTTTTTGAGGGTAGTGAGAGGTCACACCCACCTGCTGAAAATGAGCAGGTAAGATTAGGGTAAAGATTTTCCTCAATTTATACAGCAGAAAATGGAAAAAGACACCTTATTCCTCCAAGATTGTTGTCCTAGGCCGTGTCCACATCTCCACGAGGCCTGTGGTTATCCAACATTCCCATGATAGCTTTATTGATTTCAAATTCCAAATCTTCTTTATACAAAATTCTTTGATTGATTTTTCTATATGCCATTAACTCATTTTATAGCATCCCAGGGCTATGAAGCTATTAATCTGCTCCAAGTTCAAGTAAATTTTCAATTTAACAAGGGTTTATGGCCTTTCCAATTTTCCTTGATTAGATGACATTAAAGATAAGCAAAACATCTTTAATTTGTCTCAAAGGACCCATTGAAGGAAAACATTTCCCCAGCCTTGGATGGGAAGAGCATACAAACTAGTATATTTTGTAATATAGGCAAAATTTCCACTCCACTGGTCACAAAAAAAGTGTAATTGGTTCAATCTTGTATCAGTGGAATGTCTACTTTATCATTCTTATTTCTCAACCAGCACTAAAGCCTCTGATTTGTAATTGCTTTTAAGCTCAGTCGTAGTGTTGGTACATTGTCAACTCAGGGAAAGCTGTTCCAAATGACACCTTTCTTTGTGAAATGATAAAATGGATGAACAAGCAATTCAGTATTTATTAATGCTTAGCACTATGTTGTGTCCTTAGGTACTTAGGGAAGAAACAAATAAAGCTCATGTGGACTCCATAACATTGACAATGTTGCTTAAAGCTGTTTCTTTGTATTGGTTTACCTGTTGTTAAGAAGGCATATAAGGCTTTTTTTTTTTTTTTTTTAAGAGAAACGGCAGTGGAGTCAATGCCTGCTTGCTTTCTGAGTCAATAGCTCCCTTCTTTCTGCAGCTATACTTATTTGACTCTTGACCTAAAATTTAAGATTCTGCTTCCTATTTTGGGGTCTATTTTGACTTTTGTCAGGAGTAATTTGGGGAAGTACAGACCAGTCCTTAGTGATTCAGTGTTACCAACTTAGCTGAGAGTGTTTCCAATTCCAGGTACTGAGGCTATGTCCCTTGCTTATGTGTTGATTGCAGGATTCTGTGATGGAGAGTAGAGCACTTGGGTTTGAATTCCCAAGCTACCACTATCCTTGCCCTGTGGTGGCCTGGATAAGTGATTTTATCTTTCAGAGTTTCAGATCCATCCTTTCTCAAATGTTGTTAGAATACTTTTTTTTTTTTAAACTGAGGTTTTATATGATGATTTGCTTCAGTTCGGCAAATTGAAGGCAGATCCATGTTTTCTTCCCCTCCTTCTGAAGTTTCTGCTTTCATAAAATCTTCATTACACAAATTCTTTCAGGCATGGGTTTCTGCTTTGCTTTATGTAAGCCTATCTAGGGACTGGTGTTCTATGACCTGCTGCAGGATTAACTCGATCTAGCATCTGTATGCACTCAGGCATCTTAGCTGACTTTAGAATCCCAGTGATGATGCTCCTTCCTCTGTCTATGTAACTGATTGCATGTTACCAAATGCCTTAATGATTGTCATATTCCTGGGTCTGACACCAAGTTTTATGATTATTTTGTACTATTTGACTGTCTGGCCTTCTTCAATTCTTGCTCCATGAAAATTTTGTTTAATTTTTATTTCATTTATAGATTTGGTTTTGGTCATATATGATAAGTGAACCTAAAAGTCATCTATTTTCTAATATGAATAAAAAATTTCTTCCATTAAATTTTGGTAAAAATCCACCAGTGAAATCATCAGGGCTTGGTGATTTTTTTTTAATAAGGTGATTACTTATGGATTCAGTTTCTTTAGTAAATATGGGGTGTTCAGATTATCTTTGTGTATGTGTGACCTTTAGTAGTTTTTTTTCAAAGATATTTGCTCATTTCAAGCATTGTGTAGAGGGCAGGGGATGTGGTTCAGTAGCAGAGTGCTTGCTTAGCATGCACAAAGACTTGGATTCAATCTCCAGTATTGCAAAAACAGAAAAATAAGCTTTCTCCCTCTGGAAAAAAAAAGAAAGAAATTTGCTAACTTGGAAAAAAATGTTAAGCTATAACAGTAGGAAAACTCAATATTTGTTATAAATAAAATATGAAATTTGGGAGAAAATGCTGATAATTTCAATATTTGTAATTTAAAACATAGAATCAATTTAAGTACATATCAAAGTTCATTGTTTCTTGAAGTAAATGAAAGCCATAGATCTTAGAATTTTAAGTAGTTAGGTCCCAATTCTATATGGCAGAAGCTGTGGTGAGCTGTACTTATAGACGGTGGCCGCCATTAGAAGATGGCGCCGGCTTCCACTGTAGCCTGTGACAAACAACTCCTGATATGGAGAGTTGGCGCGCAATCACTTATCACCCTATGAGAAAGGTCCACGTGGCGGCTTGGGATTGGGATGCGGGGAGCTTTATCAGGCTGTGCTTGGGTGTGTGGGGTGCGGGCGCTAGCAGATGATACACTAATCAAGGCCTGAATAAACTGCTGAAAGAAGAATCCTGAGTCGTGTCCTCCTTTGCCGGCTGGGGGTCGTGGCAAGAAGCCAAAGTAAAAAAAGAAAAAAATCACAAGTCAATGGAAGAGCAGAAGGACAAAAGAACCTACATGCCCAAGTAACCTGTGGTTTATCCGTCTTTTGTATCACAGTTACAAAAGTAAAAGCTTAATTGCTGAACTACAGATCTGCTTTATTTATAAAATATCATTAACCATCAGTTAATGAATGATTTTATGGTTTGAATTTGATCATCTTTGGCATTTAAACCCCAAATCACCATTGATACTCTCATTATTAACACCTTTCTGTATTCACGGCCTTCTTTATGTAGTGAGCTTTAAAGGTAGACTATTAATTAAATAATAGTTTGTGAATTTTCTTGTTTACTCCAGAGATAATAGAACAATCTCTATGTCTAAATTTAGAGCTATTTCTATAGAAATATCTTCATTTCTATATTTTTTCTTTTATGAAACTGGAAAATTAAAGGTGTTGCTCAATATTTAGTCACATTCTAGGGAAACACATTTGTTTTCAATAAGACCGTAGGGTCAATTGGATTTTTTTCCCCGTTTTCCCTTGCCTTCTTGATGTTTAGATTTAGAAAGAATTTAATGGTCTAAATACGCCATCTGTTTCTCACATCACATTAAGTAATATAGTAATAGCCTGAATTTTCTATTGCAACTTTCTGCACCTCTCAGAACAAAGAAGTGGTCTATCTCTAGTATTCACAATTAGAGGGCTCAAATGCCTATAGGTTGATGGCTGAGACATAATGCTAAGACTGTCAAACAGGATTAAATCTTGGCAATTAAAATATTCGTATTATTAGGAAATTGATCAATAAAAAACAGTTCTAGAAGATAATCCAAAATCTTGACCTCAAAAATAGTAAGTTTTTGACCCAAGTATAATCCTCATGAGGTATCATTTATCATCTTCTTTGTTTCATAAATAAAGAGATCTTTTGCATCAGACTCTATCACAAACTTTTTGGAAAAGACAATTTACAACCCTTTACAACTTAAAACATTTGCACAGAGTCTTCATTTGAAATGTCTTCCTCTATTATTAATGCAGCTTGGCTATTGGAAAGCTGTGGAAGAAATTCCACTCTTAAGAAGGAAAAAGCATGAGTTTATAAATTATTGAGCTAAAATAAGTGGGCTTTCCCTAGGTGTCCAAAACATAATGTCATCGATACTACCGTTGAACCACAAATATAAGGGAAAATATCCTAGACTCTAAATCCCTCAAAAAGTTGGCAGAAGTTTGCAGCTAAAAACATTCTAGCCCCAGTGAACTCAGTGAAAGATTGAATTAAATTGGGTCAAGCAAACATCTCTTTTTCTCATTCCCTTGTGCAAGTAACTCACAACTTTCAATCTCCAGGGTGCAGTTTTGTTCATCCAGAGGGTATCTTCGAAGATCCATCATACATGCGGCAGTAGTTGTGATCCTGCCAGGGTAAGAGAGGAAAAAGACATCAGAAAAGTGCTAATATTTCCACCACAGCCTTCCCAGTCCCCAATCATGTTTACCAAGTGGCAGAAACAAAGCGCAAAACGTTTGTGAGATCATAAGAGACTACTGTGAACAATTATACATCAACAAATTGGGTAGCCTAGATGGATAAATAGCTATGAATAAATTCATAGAAATATATACACTGCCAAGGCTGTTTCAAGAAGAAATAAAGTTTGAACATTACAAGGAGATTAAATTAGTAATCAAAACCTTCAAGAAAGAAAAGCCCAGAACCAGATGGCCTCATGGGTGAGTGTTTTATCATACATTCAAATAAGAATTAATAGAAGAGGGAACTCTTCAACACTCATTTTTTTAACATATTTTAATTGGTGCTTTATAGTTGTACATAATGGTGGGATTTGTGGTTACTTATTGATACATGCACAATAACAATATATGTAACAATATAATTTGACCAATATCATTTCCCAGTATTTCCCTCTTTTCTTTCCTCCTCTCCCTGGTCCCTAAGTTTGATTTATTTCACTTAGTTCTATCCATTTTTCCTGCCTATGACATAATTCTGTTTGTCTTCATGTGTATATATACCACATTTTATTCATTATATACCAATTATATACCAATATATACCACATTTTCTTATCCACTCAACCATCAATGAACACCTAGACTGGCTCCATAGTTTGGCTATTGTGAATTGTGCTGCTATATACACAAGTATATATGTATCACTAAGTATGATTCCTTTAATTCTTTAGGATAAATCATGTGCTGGTTCCATTCCTAGTCTTTTGGGAAACCTCCACACTGATTTCCATAGTGGTTGTACTCATTTATACACCTCAACAGTATAAAAGTGTTCCTTTTTCTCCTTATTCTCTCCAGAATTTATTGTTATTTGTATTCTTGATAACTACCATTCTCATTAGATTGAAATAAAATCTCAGCATAGTTTTGATTTGCAGTTCCCTGATTAGTAATGATGTTGAAGATTTTTCCATATATTTGTTGGCTATTTGTATTTTTTCTTCCAAGAAGTGTCTGTTTAGTTCATTTGCCCCTTTATTAATTTTTTTGGTATAAATCTTTTTTATATATTCTAGATATTAACCCTGTGTCAGAAAAGTAGCTAGCAAAGATTTTTTCCCCCATTCTGTAGATCCTCTCTTCATATTCTTAATTATTTTATTTGCTATATTGAAGCTTTTTAATTTGATGTCATCCCATTTATTAACTCTTGGCATTACTTCCTGAGCTTTAGGGGTACTACTGAGAAAGTCATTGCCCGTGACTGTATACTGGAGTGTTGACCCTATGTTTTCTTCTAGAAATTGTGTAGTTTCTGGTCTAATTCCTAAGTCTTTGTTCCATAACTTTTGTGCAGGGTGAGATAAGGTCTAGTCTCATTCTTTTATGTACAAATAACCAGTTTTCCTAGCACTATTGGTTTACAAGGATGTCTTTTTTTGAGTGTATGTTTTTAGCACCTTTGTTAAGGATCAGATGACTGTAGAAGTGTGGTTTGTACATTTGGTGCCATTGCTCTATGTGTGTGTTTTAATGCCTGTGCCACGCAATTTTTGTTACTATAGCTCTGTAGAATAATTTGAAGTAATGTATTGTGATATCTCCAGCATTGTTTTTTTTTTGTTTGTTTGTTTGGTTTTTTTGGCCTAGAATTGCTTTTGCTTTTCTGGATCTTTTATTCTTACAAATAAATTTTAGAAGTGTTTCTTCTTGTTCTGTGAAGAATGTCATTGATATTCTGATAGGGATTACATTGAATCTGCAAATCACTTTTGGTATTTTGGTAGTATGACCATTTTAACAATCTTAATTCTGCCTAACCAAGAACATGAGCAGTCTTTCCATCTTCTAAAGGTCTTCTTCAATTTCTTCCTTCAATGTTCTGTAGTTTTCATTGTAGAAGTGTTTCACCTCCTTGGCTAGATTTATTCCTAGGTATTTTATTTTATTTCTTTTTTGAGGTTATTGTGAATAGAATTGTTGTCCTAATTTCTTTCTCTGTCGATTCATTATTGGGAATAGCAAAACTATTGATTTTTGTATGCTGATGTTTTTTGTATGTTGATTTTTTAATGTGCTGTTTTGCTGAATTTGCTTATTAGTGCTAGTTGTCTTTTGAATCTTCTAAGTATAGGATCATATCATCCGTAAAGAGTAATAATTTGACTTCTTCCTTTTCTATTTTTCCTCTTTTATTTCCTTCTCTTACCTAATGATTCTTGGAAGAATTTCTAGTATTATATTGAGTAGGAGTGGTGAGAGTGTACATCCTTGTCTTGTTTCAGATTTTAAAGGAAATGCTTTCAGTTCTTCCCTATTCACTATGATGTTGGCTTCGGGATTGTCATATATAGTCTTTACAATGTTGAGGTAAGTTTCTTCTATCCTCACTTCTTTAGTGCTTTTTTTTTTATCATGAGTGGGTGCTGGATTTTGTTGAAGATTTACTCTGCATCCATTGCAATGATTATGCGATTTTATAATTAATTCTATTTATGTGATGGATTACAATTACTGATTTGTGTATGCTAAACTGTCTTTGCATCCCTGAGAAAAACCAATTGGTCACTATGTCCAATCTTCTTAAGATTTTCTGCATCTTATTTCTTCAGGGATATTTTCTATAGTTTTCTTTCCTTGATGTGTCTTTATCTGGTTTCTAAGACTTATTTTATGAGGCCAGCATCACCCTGATTCCAAAGTTAGGCAAATAGAATACAAGGAAAAGCAACAATGACAACAACAGAAAGCAAAACAAAACAACACCCCTACCCCGCCCAATAACCCACTAAAGGCCAATATCCTTGATGAATAGATACACAAACCTTACATTACTGAAAAGCTGAACTCAAAAGCATATTAAAAGGATTGTACACTGACCAAGTGGAATTTAATCCTAGGATGCACATATGGATACAAAGCAATTAGCAGAAGCTGAGGTAAAAACAAAAAACAGAAGCCAACGGAAAAGAGGTTAAGGGAAAAATCAATTAACATGATACATCCTATTAACAAAATAAATGTTGGTTAACCATCTCAGTAGATGCAGAGAAATGGAAAGCTTTTCCTATAAGATCTGAAACAAGGCAAGGACACCCAACCTCACCACTGCTGTTCACTGGTAGTCACAGTCAGAGCAATCAGGTAAGAAAAGGAAATCAGACATCCAAATCAGAAGGAAATAAGTATAACTATCAGTTTGCAGATGGCATGATCATATCCATAGAAAACCCTGAAGACTCTACCAAAAAATTGTTGGAATTAGCAAGTGAATTCAGTAAATTTTCAGGATACAAAATCAATATGAAAAAATCAGTGGTGTTTCTACACATCAACAACTAAATCTCTGAAAGGGAAATTAAGAAAACTTGTACATTTACCTTAGCAATAACAAAGTGTTTAGGAATTGACTTAACCAAAGAGAAGGAAAACCTCTACATTGCAAATAATAAAATATTAATGAAGGAAATTTAAAAAGACAAGCAAATGGGAAGACATCCCATATCATAGACTTAGAAGAATTAATATTGTCAAAAATGTCTATCTCACCCAAAACAATTTCTAGGTTCAATGAAATTTCTATCAAAATCCAATTGCATTTTTGTACAAAAATAAATAGAAGAAAAAAATCCTAAAATTATTATAGAATCAAAAAAGACCCCAAATGAGTGAAGGAATTTTGAACAAGATCAAAGTTGTTGTACTTTATATTCTTATCAACAGTGTACAAAGCTTTTCTTTTCACTATATCCTAAACAAAATTTAACTTTTTTTCTTTCTTGTAATAATCATCTTAACAAGAATGAGATAATATCTCATTATGGTTTTGATAAATTAGAAATGTTGAGGACCTTTTTCATATGCTTGTTGACCATCTTTATATTTTCTTTTAAGAAATGTCTATTTAAGTCCTTGGCCCAGCTTATTTGTATTTTGGCATTGAGTTGTATGAGTTTTTAAAATATTTTGAGTATTAAACTCTAATAATATATAAAGTTTGCAGGTATTTTCTCCCATTCCATAGGTTGCCTTTACATTTTACTGATGTTTCCCTTTGCTATGCAGAGCTTTTTAATTGGATGTTATCTCACCTGCCTATTTGTGCTTTTATTTTATTTTGGTATCAAACATCACTGCCAAGGCCAATGCCATAGTGGTTTCTCCTGTGTTTTCCACTGGAAATTGTAATGTTTCAATTTTTAAGTTAATTCTTTAATCCATTTTGAGATGAGTTGTGAATAGGAGCCAAATTTCAATTTTTTTTCCTCATGGATATCCACTTCTTTAAACACCATTTGTTGAAGAGACTATCCTTTCCCTCTTTGTGTTCCTAGCTTCCTGTTCAAGATCAGTTGATGATAAATTATAAATATATGATTTTATTTCTGGGTTCTCCTACTCTGTTTCATTGGTTTATGTATCTGTTTTCATGCCATAACTATAATGTTTTGATTATTACAGGTTTGCATTATAATTTGAAGTCAGGAAGTAGGATATCTTTAGCTTTTATCTCAAGACCCATTGATTGTGAAGATAGCTCTGAGTTTTTCATATATAATTTTTATTATATTGAGATAAGTTCCTTTTATTCATATTTTGTTGAGAGGCTTCATCATAAAGAGATATCATATTTTGTCAAATGATTTTTTTTCTGCATCTTTTGAGATCATCACATAGCTTCTGTCTTCATTCCATTAATGTGGTATATTGCAATGCTTAATTTGTGTATGTTGAACCAACCTGGCATCCTAGGAATAAATTCATAGTGTAGGATTTTTTTAATATGCGGTTGAATTTAGTTTGTTAGTACTTTATTGAGAATTATATCACATTCATAATTAATGTAATTAATTCACTATCCATTAATAACCATATGTCAATGATACCAAGATAAAGCTGTGTAAAAAAATCTTGTGATTAAAGATTTTGAAGATAGCCAGA